AATGGAGGTGGTGTTATAAGAAATAATGAAAATAAATCATTGCTGCTACAGTTGCTACTTCTATAACTAGTTACAAAGGCAGTTAGTTATCATAGCTGCCTTCCCACATCACATTTCCATGTTATTAATCTTTGCCACCACCTTGGCTAGATGGGATTTCTATCTGGTGAGGTAACCCAAACCTTTGTTCCTACAATAGCTGATATCTTGGTGGTTTTATCTTAATGTTGCTACATTTTTCCATTTATCATGACTTTTGAGCAAGGGAGTATTATAAGATGACCCAGTGGATCCCCTTGGTTCCAAATATAGTCCTTCTTGCCTCCACCAATTAGGAGCAACTCAATTCCCCTCTGATTACTGGAATCAATCCTGTGGCCAATACAGTAATCTCTTTCTCAGCCAATTGATTTAATGGCGTGGGAGCCCCAAATGGCAAGAGGGCAATATCAGCTTCTAGTTTATTGGACACATGACTGTTTCTTTAGTGGGAGATTTCTTCCCTTGGGCACAAGAATCTCTGTAATCCACTTAACAAAGGTCTTTGAGAAATGAAGTAAAAATGATTTAAGTGGGATGTTAGGTGTATGTGATATGGAGCTGTTAGGCCATGGGGAAGATAGGGCCATATATTGGCATCTGGGTTAAGGCGTATATTGCATCCTGTATATCAGCACTGCAGTCTCTCAGGGTGTTGTCTATCAGATGTCATAGTAACTGAGAATTCACTCAGCCATTTCATTTTTCCATAAAACTTTCGCTTCTGGGTGATGGAGCTTCTACTAACACCAATGAATTTCATAGATATGAGCCCACTGTGACACATCATTTGCCATAAATCATGTCCCTTTTTAGACATGATGTTGTACATGACACTATGGCATGGAAAGGATATTCTTTAAGTTAATGAACAATGATACTGGTAGAAATTCTATAGGCAAGGTAAGCAAATTAGGGCCTCAAATAAATGTCTAACCCAATGAGGGCAAACCGTTGCCCTCTCTTATGATAGAAAGTTTAGTGTAATCCATCTGCCACCGGGTGGTTTCCTAATTCCCCTGGAAAATGATGTTATATTGGGGAGCTCAGTTTTGGCCAATGCTCTTGACAAGTTGAGCACTCAGCAGTGGCAGAATCCAGATCATTCTCAGTGAGAAAAACTCTATTATTAAGTCTGTGCAGATGCTTCATCACTGCCACCATGGCCTCTTGTTGGCACTTTAGGTCTGTGAAATAAGCACCAGAGGCTGACTGACACTCATAGGACAGGCCATCTAGTGAGAGCTTACACTCTGGTAGATACCTTCTTGTGTATTTACATGGGGCATAACTATCTTTATGCACTCTCATTCTGTTCTAGGAAGTCATAGACATAAATCTCCCCACGGCTTCATTGTCATCATTTTTTCATCTTCATTTTTTCAGGTCCCTGACCATTCTGGCCAAATTCATTAGCTCCTGCCCAAAAATAAATGTACATCTAAATCTTAGACAGTCTCTAGTTCTACATGTAGTGGAGCCCTAGATGTACTGCCCAAAGGTCTGCCCACAGAAGGCTGTCTCTTTACTACTGTCTTTCAGGGCCTCCCTTCAGTGTGAGTATAATACAGTGTCAAATACAAGGTTAACATATAAAATATATAAAAAGAATAGCACTCTAATACAAAAATGGGTAAAAGATGGGAATAGGTTGTGAAGCTGTGTTGGTTCTGAATGTTCTTAGTAGGAATGTATAATGATTTAAAAAAACTAAGTATTTCAAAATATGTATCAATGGCATTAAATATTTGTACCCATAAGATTCTGAAGTATTTTAATGTCTAGATTTTTCCTTAAGAATTAGCACCTTTTTACCTACCTTAATCTCAGGTCCTTGTTCTTAACTTGCGATGTTTGTTATTACATAATTTTTTTACTCCTGAGGTTTTTGAGTTGGGCGAAGGAGAAGGATGACAACTTGTGTTTAGTTCACTGACTTGTTCACACATGCTAATTTTCTTACAGTTTACAAGAGTTTAATCATGTTTATTCAGCTATGCAACTTAATATGGAAAATTACTAGCTTAGTGAAATGAGAAAAGAAATATGTCATTGCCTTTCAACATGCTTTTAGAGTAAATGTATTTAGATGTATGTTTCTCTTCAATGTATTTCAAACATCTATTTTGTAGATAAGAAGGTGGTTCAGGTGGCAGATAAAAATCTTTTGCTGGTAGACTCAAAACCAAAAGATTATCCTCAAATTAAGATATACAAAATTGCCCAAGCAGAAACACTTTGTATATACAATATTAGCAAATAACTTTAAATCACATAAATATTCATATTCAGAAGAATAAATTTGGAAGGTAGTCACAAATGGATATTAAACTAACCAATTTTGATTTTTATATCTGGACATTTGCAGTAATAATAAGAATAATAATGAAATTATTTTGTTATTTATTAGACATTTAATATCAAACACTTAATAAGTAATCCACACAGAAACCCTATGAGGAAAGTACGATTATTATCACCATTTAAGAGATGAAGAGAGGGAGACATAGTGTAACTTGCCTAAAATCTCATAATTGAAGGTAAATTCTAAACCCAGATAATCTGGCTATTTACTCTCCTATGGCCCCAGGAAAACTAGAGAAAATCTTGGAAGTGTCTGATTGTATTCAACTTTAAAGTAAACTGTTTCCTCTAACCTCTCATGCAAACCCTTCATTGCTCTTGTTCTCTCTTTTGCTACCATTCGTCTGTTGCTACCATAATTTCTTACAGTCAATTACTCAAACAGCATGTGCTTGTTGTTACTGTGACAGTTGTAGAGGAGACAGTATGTTCCTCAATTTCAGATCTTTAAGTGACAGGAAATGTTGATGAAAAGAAATGTCATTTATGTGTTTTCTTAATTGTTTATTTTTATATAAATTTCATTTTTTTCTGATTTAAAAAAAAAAAAGACCGTGAAACAAATGATCCTTTCTTAGTATGGTGAAGAAAATCTGTCTCTAATGCCCCAATGCCGTATTTAATGGTGAAATAAAATATCCAATAAAAGTTACAAACAAGACAAAATTGCGGTCTATTGCTGCCAAAGAAAACATTGTTGTAGATGTCTAACCAATGTAATAAGAAAAAAACAACCCGTTACAAATATTAGAAGAGATGATGCAACATGATTATTACTTACAGATTATTAGATTTCTACCTTTAAAACCTAAAGTAATCAAATAAAGGCTATGTAATATCAAAATGAAAGTTCAGCAAAGTGGCTAACACAAATTTGCCAGAGGAAAACAGCAGCATTTCTATATATCCTAGCATTGGCAGGAGCAAAAACATGATAAAATAACTGATGATAAACATCAGGAAATATGCTGGTCTTACATGATGGAAACAACAAACTTGAATGACAAAAGAGAAATGTTGACTTAATAGTGAGATGTTCCATGCTCCTGAGTGAAAGAGTCTTAAAACTAATATGTAAATAACTTTTTTCCAGTCAAAATGTCAGTGGTTGTTTGTTTTTTGTTGCTGATGGAATTTTATGAAAATGATTCTAAAATTTATCTTAAAAAAAGAATGTATTTCAGTATCAAAATAATTGAGTGAAGAAAAGAGGGTAGAGCTGGGGCAGTGGCACTTGACCTAATTATATATTAAAAAGCTTCAACAATGAATAATAAACATTTAGATCAATGGAGCAGTTTAGAAATTCCAGAAACTGATCAAAGAATATCATATCATAGTTGTTAGAACTAGTGATTTTCAAAAAATCGATTGTTTAACAGACAAATGGAAAAAAATATAAAGTGTGATTTTTATCTTCCACTGTTGAACAAATTGATCTTCAGCTTTATAAATAACTTCCATGGAAAATGAAACATTAAAATAAAACATAAATTAATCTTGTTTTGAGGAAAACTACCCTAAGCATGACTTCATAGCCAGAAACTTAAGGGAAAGATCATTAAAAATTAACTAAATAATAATTAAAAATTTATGTACACAGAAACACCAAAATCAAAGTTATAAAGCAAACAAAAAACCTGAAAAAAATATTTGTGGAAGTCAATAGGTTGTATCCTTTATATGAAATATAGTCTTTCTATAAAAATATTTAAATATTTAATATTCATATTTAGATTATTTCTTTAATAAAAAAGTATATTAAAAGAAATTAGAAAAAATGAATTCCT